TTGACAGTTAATTGTACTGATGATAAGAAAGCACAGTATATCAGGTATCTGAGAGAATTATGGAACCATAATAATGAGGGAACATTAATGTCATGTTTTAAGTTAACCCCTTTGATCCGGATGACGTGACCATCACATCGTGAAAGAATTTGGCTTGAGGGGTAGATGACGTGAACATGCTGTCAGGGGAAGATCTGGCTACAGGCCCAGGTGATGCGAATTTGCTGTTGTGAACATTTCAACTGAAACCCATGGTGATGGAAAAGACTCACCACAGGTGCACGAACCTCTTGGAGGGTGGTAAGACTCATTTAGAGTGTAGAAATGGGTTTTTGCATTATCCCCAATGATAAAAGAGTTTGACATGTAGTGTCCTTGAGCCATGACTGGAAGAGCGCTGGCTCTAGGGAGGATGGTATTTCCATGATCAGCATACTATTCCTGACCACTATGACTGGTGGCAAAGGTTGTATTACAGAAAATTGATTATTATGATAAAAGAAAGAAAAATTATGCTAATCACAAAATGTCAAATACTTTTATTTTTCTTGCACTGAGTTATAATCTACCTAGAAGGATGATATGGAGTCTGCGCAAGGAAAACAGTCTTATTATCATTTGGATAAAGCAAGTCAAATGGACATTGAAAAATAGCAAAAAAGCTAAAAATGCTTATGCATAAAAGGAGAAAATAACATTACAAAGGGGAGGCATAGAGTCTTGTCACTACACACGAGTGTTTGTGTGAGCCCAGTCTACAAGCCGTGCACCTGTCAGAGCTGCTGCCCATGGAAGCCTAATGCCAATATTTTGTGCCATGTGATTGCTGTGAAGTAACCGGATCAAAGGGGTGAAGTAACATAGAAGTAATGTAATGATCAGTGGTGTCATAAGCAGTGATGTTTCTCATGTAGGTTTTGCCAGATAATGTTATGTTGTATTTATTTTGCTGTGCACAGGTGACAGTGATACTCTTGAGAAAAAAAGCTTAGGCTAACAGTTTTCATGTATTTCAGGGGTTACATGGGGTAATGTGCTTCTGGCTTGGATATTTCTAGATTAAAACCTTTGCCAAATGAGGGAAAAATACATGTGGATTTTTCAGTTAAATGTAAAATATTCACTGTCTTCTTGTCAGCACATGTTACACATTACCACATGTAGAAAGAATAGGTCTAATCCATGTCAATGGATTCTCGGTGGCTAGTTAACATTAATTTTAAGGTCACAGTATACACTAATTGTGGTGTCAAATGATAATTACTCTTCTCTGAATAACAAGTTCCTGTAGTTTGTGAGTAAGTATAAGTTTCAGAGCTTATCTTTGTACTTCACTGATCTTCCTTTCCAGGTTGGGTTTTGAAATAGCTGTATTCATCTTTACTTTTAAGGGCTAGTCCCTAATTCCTTTATGCTTTTCCTGGACGTAGACTTTTTTATTTTTTCTTGGTGAGACATGGGGCATATAATTTGGTGGCTTCACATATTTCTTTCCAAAGTACCAGTTTCTCAATAACAGTTCTTTACCCTCTGTAATTTAGGGGGAATGCTAATATGACCTTGATTGGTTTTACAGCTCGACCTACGTTCCTCAATTTGAACCTGAACCTCAACTCTCTCAGACTTCAGGGATCCACTCCTGCCAAGTGTATGTCCAGTTCTTGTCTTTGGTGTTGTCTGTAGATGCCGAATGATGCCATGAATACCTCCTCTATCTGCTCCCTAAGTTTATTATGTAGTTGCTCTCTCTCTTTGGCTCTCTGTACATTTGAGGCCATGATGGTATTGTCACTCACCTGCTGAGGAATAATTTGCTCTCTTGTTTTCTTCTGTAGCAACTGCCTTAATGACAAATTATCTGTCTTTGACACACACCATATTGTATTATTGATATACTGTTTATTGATTTCACTTATTGCGAGTTCCCTTTTGTGTTTTGATATCTACGTCTAGTGATTTTATAAATGAAGCATATATATTTTGCCATTATTGTTTATGAGTAATTTAGTGCCTCGTTAGTAGTTCATTGTTTTTGTAGTTTAAAGCTGATCACAAGTTATTTTTAAGATTTATTTTATCAGTTCTTGCCATACCAATGCTAGTAAGAAGCACAAGATTTGATTGCTGATGATAGTAGAAATTAAAGTGCTTGTTGCTTTTTGTAGATCACACATAAGTATCACAGAATGGTCATTTTAGGTACTATTATTTTTAACTGACTGAATGGTTTCAACTGAAGAAAAAGTATGATTCCCAGTGATTTTATTGAGATTTTTTTCTCTCTCTCTATTTTCAAGTTTGTAGTTTTGCCTATTCACTGTATCTAAGATAGTTATCAGTTACCATATAGTGTATTGAAATTTTGAGGAAGAAATGTATTTTAGGATGTTACTTTAATGATGCAAAGTAGATCCGTCAGTAATTGGAAAGTATGAGTAAAGTAAAAGCATTTTCTGTTTCCAATATATAAATTATTTAGAAGAATGTTGATGGTATCACTTAAATTGAGAGTGAAGGACATTTAAATCGATGATTATGAGATTAGTGAATAGGTTCATGTAACCAATGGATATACACCCGAAGACATGCATTCTAGAAAATTAGTTGTTGAAAGAAGACCAGAAAAAATTGTAGTCCTTTAAAGAAGTGAAGTAATTTGTTGTGACTGATTCAACAAATGCTAACTGCACTGTAGATGTGGAAGAGTTGTTAAAAGTGTGATTTTTCATCACCTGAAAGAAAATCATTTAAGGGAGAATGATGATTTTTTTGTTTGATGTTCAGATCTAATGATGTGATATCATATAGGAGACATACGATAGAATCAACGTTGCATGCTACTCTAAAAGGTAGTTTATTTTTTGTATCCTTGGTTGTAAATATTTTGAATATTCTCTAAGACTGAAGTATGTTGCTACTGAATCAGGCCTCTGCAAGCAAGGCCCTTATTATTGATCTTTATAAACAGTGGTCACTTAATGGAGGTACTATATTAAAGAAGTCCTTCTGTGGGAATTGTACATTTATTTATCATAATGTCAAGAGGAACATTCACTCTTTTATGGAAGTAGGTTCCAGTGATCTGTTAATTTTATTGATAATGTCATGAAAATCTTTGTTGTGTTTGTCTGTTGCACAAGGAAAATTGTAAATGACATGTTCTCTGCCTGTTCCCCATCTCCTCCCACTCCCCTTTCCCTTCCTGCTACCCCCTCTTCCTCTCCTGCTCCCTTTCCCTCTGGTATGTGTGCCTGCATATGTGAGTATGTGCATGTGTGGGTGGGTGTACACATGTGATGTATGTTTTTGTGTATGCATGTTTATCTGTCTGTGTTGTGTTTTGGGAGGAGGGTGATGGACAGATGCATATATGCACTTGTGGTCGAGTTCATGTGAAAGTGCATATTGCATATTTGTGTGTGACTGATACAAGAATTATGTCAGCACAAATGATTTCAGGATAACAGTAGCTCATGTTGCATATATTTTTAACATTTTGTTTTTTCCCAAAAACAAGAAAAGACATTTTATCTAAAATTCTGTGGAATGTTGTCTTGATTGCCTTGGTGATGGTACCCCTCTTCAGTTGAATAATGCTAGTCGTTCTTTTCCTTTGTTTTGAATTTCCTTTTTTTTCTTGCAGGTAATATTGAGGAAAACAGAAGTCTTTTAGCATGTGTTTTTCTTTTAATTTTAAAATCCTTTCTTCCACACAGAGCCAGCTTAGAGTATGACTGCTGTCTGATTCGTAAAGAAATATTAATTTATACTGCATTTTGTATTTAATTTATGCACTTTTGGTTAATGTTTTGCTTATTTTATCGGGAGAACTTACTAGTTTACGTCTTAATAAAGCTTAAGATATGTTTGGAACGAAACATGCATGGTGTATTCAGGGACTTTATTTTCTGAGTACATGCATCTTAGAATATTTGCTATGTCTGCATGAAATTGCAAATTTATTTTTCCTTGTAAATTTTATAATGTGAAATTTATGCATGATAAATCTATCCAATTCTGTGTTGAAGAACGATTGGGTTACTGGATATTTGTTGTTGGAATGTATATGTACAAACATGGACTTTTAAAAAATGTGTCTACTTATACATGCAGTCACTCACTCACTCAACTTACTTATCACTTACTCACTCTCCCTCATGTACTCAATCTACCTCTCTCTTGCTCACCCTCCACAGTCACTCCCTTACCCCTCTCTCGCCATGCTCCTCTCTACCTCTCTTGATCTCTGATCACTCTCTCCCGCCTTCTCTCATTGCCCACTCTCCCCCCATTCTTTCTCTCTCACTTTGCACCCCTCCCCCCCCCCCCCCCCCTCTCTCTCTCTCTCTCTCTCTCTCTCTCTCTCTCTCTCTCTCTCTCTCTCTCTCTCTCTATCTCTCTCTCTCTCCTCTCTCTCTCTCTTCTCTCTTCTCTCTCTCTCTCTCTCCTCTCTCTCTCTCTCTCTCCTTCTCTCCCTCTCCCCTTTCTCTCTCCCTTTCTCTCTCCTCTCTCCCTCTCCTTTCTCTCTTTCTCTCTCTCTCTCTCTCTCTCTCTCTCTCTCTCTCTCTCTCTCTCTCTCTCTCTCTCTCTCTCTCTCTCTCTCTCTCTCTCTCTCTCTCTCCTCTCCCTCTCTCTCTCTCTCTCTCTCTCTCTCCCTCTCTCTCCTCTCTCTCTCCCTCTCTCTCTCCTCTCTCTCCCTCTCTCTCCCTCTCTCTCTCGTCTCCTCTCTCTCTCCTCTCCTCTCTCTCTCTCTCGCTCTCTCTCTCTCTCTCCTCTCTCTCTCTCTCTCTCTCTCTCTCTCTCTCTCTCTCTCTCTCTCTCTCTCTCTCTCAGATACACATACACATGTGTCAAATACTGACACCACACACATGAACATACACATGCATATTGGTAATGTGTATTACCAGATCAAAAGCTAAGTTTGTCAAGATTAAGGCATCATTTACACTACCCTGCAGCATCTCCGAGTCCTGGGCCCATGAAAATGACGCCAAGAA